ATTACGCAAGTAATAACAGTTGAACGCAATGAAAAGCAACAGCAGCCGTTTAAAGTCTCGATGCTTCTTGCAGGAAGATTCTGCATAGTTTCCAAGTAATAAGTGACCACGGTCAATCAGTGACCATTTTGAAGTGTGCAAATTCAAGCAAATGAATTCAATATGAAATCAAATATTTAAGAACAACATTTACTAATATATCGGTAGTACGACTAATTACTTAAATGATATTAAGTGATATTGACAAGATTTGTTGAAAAATTTGAGCAAGCAATATTTTTGGTATTGCTATATAATAATAGCCTTTGACATTTCCTTAGACACATTACAAATAAAAAGCAATACTTTTTCAAACTTTATGTTTACAGCAAAAGTAATTTGACAGAAGCATTAAATATATTCAAATAGATAATTATTTAGTAATAATACATAATTAAATTCGTGCATTCGCTAATCTGCATATGTTCTTATATGAATGTTTTAAAAATACTTGAACATGGAATGGATACAAACATTACCAGGTTAAAATTACAAATTATTTATGAATAAATCGAAGCGTTCCAATTATATTTCCCAGTGGATAAGTAATTGCAATAATTACTTTATCGACCGCATAAATGCAAAAATTGGCATGCAAAATTTGTGTCGTAGCATAATATTATATTCATTAAAATGATGAAAAGTCGTCCTTTGAAGATTTAAAATAATTGTGCAAAGCGCTAATGCAAAAGTAGCTCTGATAATTTGCCACATTCATTAATTGTGATAATTTATGTTTTTTTCCTTACTGCTTTTAACTTGCAAAGATTAATAAAAATTATTAATAGCTGCTTTATTGGGTTAAACTTTGACATTCGCAGACTGTATTCCCGAAGAAAGCTCAGCCAAAATAAATTATTATAGTTGCTAAAACTTTTTGTAAACGAAGCAGATTAATTTCAAGAAAATATCTCTTTAGAACATATTATTCGGATTGACATTTTGAGCGGTTCTAACTGAAATATTTTTGTAATCAGTGAAACTTAAGGCAAAATATTATCAATTTGTGTACAGTATACGAGGATATGAATAATAAGTTAAAAGTGTGAGAAGTCAGATTTTGAGCTGATTTGAAATGGCTGTAGTTAAGAATCAAAGATGTTGAGTTCATATATACTGAAGTAACATGCGCAATATTTCAATTTTCGTGTAACCATAAGCTTTGTTTCATTTAAAAAAATTCAGAATATACAAAATTCACGTCATGAATACTCATTAATCTTTTTATAAAAGGATAAAAAATACTTAATGAACGGTTCTCTGAAATCTAATGAAGTCATTTACGTTAAAATTAAACGATTTACTACAAAATTTGTCAAATTCAGTAAAGTCTATGGTAAGCTTTTATTTTTCTGTAAAATTGCTTAGTTTTAAAATAGTTATACATGCAAAGAAGTAATATTAAGAGATAAATGCAAGGTTTGATGATTTAACACTACGAATACATTACATTTCAATGAGATGTGATGATTCTTGAAATGTTGAAAACGTTTGTCAGCTGGCGTACCCACGTATATTCTGCTGATCTCAAGTATTATTCACAGCAAGCTATGAAGTCACTCTGATGCAAAGTCTGAGACAATTTAATAAATATTTCATTTTGTTCCAAAATATTTGATTTCAATTTCAATTGCTTCACTAGAAATGTGATAAACAATAAATGATATGTTGACAGAAAACGTGTGACGAAAAAAATTTACATATAAGTTTTTAGATTTAATTCATTTACAGATTGTTAATGCACGTATTTAATAATCTTAAATGCATATGGTCAAAATAAAATGTTCAAAATTTTAAAAATAATAAAGTTGGTGGATAAACATGAATATCCATTTTCAAAAGCTTAAAAAGAAAAGATGTTTGCAAACAATGCATGAATGTTATTGAAAACTATTTTCAAAAATTAATTAATAATTTAAAAGCAACTAAAATTTGAGCGCTAAAGCAATAGCATTTTTGCAAATGATTCTTAATATGATGCTCAAAAGTTATTGACAACTTTTTTTCAGAAAAATAAAGCATTTTTTTTAAGGCCTTATTTAATTTGTTCTGATATATTTTTTGAAATTCAAAAAAAATAATATATTCATAGGAATGAAGAAATATTCACTTACAAATTTTTTACAAAAACTGACTAAATTTCATTTCAATAACATTTCGCATTATAGGCGGATTTCAGTTTTACATGAAGCTGTAAGCGTACTGCACGTATGCATAAAAGATTATTTGTAGACAAAAAATAACTGTAGAATTACTACTACTGATAACATTTCATACAGTAACAATGTATGAGTTGAGTTAAATCAAACGCTTACAGTATATAATATAATGAATATAATTAAGTCAGACTAACTGCGCAGTAATTTATCACAAAAGTAAAGCCCTGAAAAAATCTGTGAAAATTTATTTTACCAATGCTTTTAAATGCAATTTTTAGTGCTTTTTTGTCTATTTTTTTTGCATTAAAACGTTTTTTAATTGAAAGGTGCGTGCAAACATATTTTTAAATGTCAGATTTTATTTGTTATCGTACGACTTAACTGCCCGTAGTGTTTTCTGGAGATAACGCTAATTATACTTTAGAAAACTTAATTATGTGCTTGCTGAACAACCTTCGCAACACATACATTTAATCTTTATCCACTTGTATACATTATTTTTGTTGGAATTATTTACTGAGGCAGAGTTACTCACTGTGGTCAGCAGATATCAGCAAGGGCAAGACTTTTTCTGATTTCAAACAAAGAAATCACGGATAAATCTGTAAAAAAATTTTTATCAATATCAGCTTCTGCTATTTTTTGTATTTAACTTCACGTTATTTTATGCATTTTGCAAAATTAATTAGTAAATTGAGTTTTATAAATCAGTTTTGTAGAAAAAGCATAAAATAATATTTGTGCTAATATTAATGCTTACATTATTGTCACTATTATTGTTGATATTTTTACTGCTTTCGCTATCATTTTTTTATTATTATTCTGGGTAAAGAAATTTGGAAGTATTCTTTGTAATGAATTCTTTGAATATAAAAAAGAATTTTAAATTTTAAATCATAAATTTTGTTGAATTAATTGGTAGAATTTTAAAATGTACTACGATATATTTCACTTCTTATCATTATGCTTATTTATTAATTAATTCTATGCAATACTTCACGTAATTCGTAATTTTGTGGCAATCATTCAAAACTAAAATTTCTATCTCTCTGGTGAATCCAAAAATAAAATATCTACATTCTGGATGCATATATTTATGAATTGTCATTCAAACTATCTGTAAGATTCAAATTTGCATACTGTAATAATTGCAATTGTTACTGATATAATGGTTGAAACATTACAGTACCCCCGCTATCACGCACTATTAATTGCACCATTAAAAAAACTTTGAATAATAACTAATCATTTATACATTTATAATAGAAAATTTAATAAATTATGCAATTTTGTTATTTAAAACTTCAATGTGCCAGTGAATGTCAGTTTTATTTATAAAAAATAAGTTTATATTTTTCAGCTTATTGCATGTACGTAAGAATTTTGCATTAATTGACTGATTTCTGTGTAAGTGTACGTATGTATGTACGTGTATGTGCGTGTTTGCGCGTGCGAATTTTCAAAAAAATATATCTCAAAAATAAATCAAAAAGATAAACAACAAATGAAAATTATGATAATATTTGATGGTACTTACGCATACTTTTATATATAAATAAATGACAAAATATGAATAGTTTTCAAATGCAAAGAACAAAATTTGAATAGAAATAAGTAATGATTGGCAGAGATTACAATAATTATCAATTCAAGAAAGACAGATTTCAAAAATATCAGCTGATAATTTCTTGCAACACATTGCATAAATTATAGAAGTGGCAGATAAAACTGGCTAAAAATATTCCCCACAAACGAAAACATAATTAATTCGTTACTTTTTATATCAATAAATAATAAATAATCAAAAATTCAACAAAAAAATATTATTAATCGAATTTTTTTTAAATATCAAATTTCCTTTATATTTGTGATAAATTATTTATTTATACTTAATGTAATATGCATTCAGTACATTTAAAAAGCTAATATTTTGCACTTTATGACTTTTTTATTTGCATGAGAAATAAATTGAATAAAATTAAAAAAAGTCTTTATTAATAATCTGTCACAAAAAAATTAAATTAAATAAATAGAACACGTACAAATATTTGATATATTTACAAGAAAGATAAAAGCTCCAAGTTTTTGAAGCAGAATAGATAGCAAAAATTTATTATTTTGGTCATAGTAAAAACACAATTCAGAATCGGAATGCCAGTCATCAAAAGCAAAAACAACAAAGATGCAAAGAAGACGTAATAATATTCAACTTTGTGTACTTCTAAAAAAATTATTATGCAGTTATTGAGAGTACTGCGTGAAGACATTATTAATTTGAAATACATAATTTTGTAATTTTTGTCATAATTAAAACAAATTTTTTCATGTATTAATTTATATTTATTTCTGATTGCATTTTTGGTAATTCAGTGTCGACTAATTTTATATTTAATGCATTAAAGCTAATTTTTATTGTATTTATTGAATTTGTGATATCTTTCAGTTGATTAAATTTGTTTCTAATTAAAAAATTATTGATTGATTAAAAAAATTATATTCATGGTCGATCTTTGAATTCTTTGTAAAATGATTGTACGTAAGTAAAAATACATTTCCAATCAGGCCGATCACCCATTAATAGCATATCGTCTACCTCCAGTAGTGGTACAATTCCATTAGCTCTAAAAAAGTCTTCATGAAGCATCAGTTTTTCAGTATCTTCCATCATTAACTGAACGAACGAAAAATGCATGCATAAAGTTTGGATGAAATAAAAGCTCACTCTGCCACCCTAAATGCCAATTCTAAGTTTTCTCGTCGTTTGCTTGGATCTAATTTATCGAATTCAAATGAATTTGGAGCAAATCGGTGAATTAATGCACAGAAAGCCATGCCATCAGCCCAACACGATGAAAAATTCGTTATTTGAACCTTTCAATAAAAAAATCATACGATAATATTTAAAAAATAGCACTGTGTTTGTTATTAAAAGCAGAAAATAAAAATAAAACTTATAATAATTTTAATTAGTCTTTGAATTTTTAGCTGAAAAATTTGATAGTATTGAGGAAATTTGTGTTATAATTACATTTATAAAGTAATTCATTCCATAAGTTATAAGCAAACACTTTGGGATTTATTTTTAAATATTGAAATTGTTATTCTGAAATTAAGTTTTATCAAATTAAGGAATTTTTAACAAAAATTTACAGGATATTCTTGCAATTTGAATTGACACCAACGCAGTAGAGCGTTCTTAATTGAGGAGGGATTTAGAAACGGTCTTGGCGAACCTTGTAGTTGGCTAGAACAGCTTATTAAAAGTTTATTCTTTTAATACTCGCAATAAAATGAAATCTGTGACCCAAAGAATTAAATTCATGATTAGGCAGAATAAAATTGTTTAAAGTTTGTCAATGTACAAAACAAAACAGCCAATTATTTTTAAAAATTCCGATAAAATTATACACGAAACTGTTTTATAATAAAAAATTTGATTTTTGCAAAACAAACTAAGATTCACCTTGTTCCATGCGTTTGATCCTTTTGCTTAAAGACATTGACCTTTGACATTTTGTTATCTGTAATACAATAATTCTTAATGAATTTTTAAGCTGAGCGTTCAAATTTTGAAGCAGATTTCATCATTTTTTACAGTGTACTAATACTGCTTAATTATTTTTAGAATTGACAGTCTTAATCTATGAAGATTGCGTGCAAAAATTTAGTTCACTAAGTATTGTAAACTAAAAATTCTTGTAGATTATTTTTATCTCTCACAAGTTATCACTTTTACAACTATCAAAACAAACTATGATAAATCATTGATAGTAAAACTTACTTCCGCATAAGTATTATTAAAATGTAAAACTATATAATTATTTTGTATAAAGTTGATCAAGATTAAGCATTATTAAAAATTATGACTCATA